GTTAACGGTGAATGATTTTCAACACAAGTTTAGATAGCTTCTTGACATCGATATATATGTACAACGTACTATATTGCTCAATTCCGAACATACACTATGTTTAACTGAATTGTACTGCAATTCGTACAGTGTGTCATTTAGTGTGGTTTCAATCTACTAGTTAGTCTGTGGTTTCAATATTCATGCAGTGTGTAGCGGCGCTAATAATACAAGATTTCAAATTAAAGTTTAAACCTGGACGTAAATAACAATTCAATATTCAAGTAGGTAAAATTATTGGTTGTTCAAGTGAATAAATAGGTAATAATATCGTAATAATACAAAAGAAAAAATCATGGAAAGGCTTCTCTAGTACGTAGTACGAGTACATATAACTCAATGCTTCTTAATACGCAAGGACCTTCAAGAAAAGAGCTTACTCCTTTCTAAAAGGCCGGCAACGCACCTGCAATCCTTGTGTTGTAGGTGTTCATGGGCGACGGTACTCACTTGCCATCAGGTGAGCCGTATGCTCGTTTGCCCCCTCTCCTATAAAAAAATATTATTTCGAAGAAGCACGTTTTGAAAAAGCTCATCGGTGCCCCTGCAGTAGACTTCCATAGCAAGAGCATAAACAAACTGCCTAATATAATGGCAGGAATGTATTAATTGCTTAGAGTTTATGCAAATATTTTGATTACTGATCTATATATAGGTAGCGTAACTGATGTTTTTCGGCGATGTTCGTCCTCTTAGCTAAGAGACGTTTACAGCTAAGACGCGGTCTAGTAGTTACTTTACCCGGCTCATACGTGACAGACTCGTATACACAACTCTAGACAAAGCCAACCTACATTTGTGCAAAAACAATTACTTACTCTGTTTTCGGATCCAGATTTATTGTGACACACACACTGCTACATTAGCCTTCATCTCATCACTTGTTGTACACACATAACAAATACATAAGCACTCACGCCTTTCACCCAGAGGGGTAGGCAGAGACTACAGATTTTTTAATTATTTATTTTCATTAACAGCAGCACAAAGTAGTACATATGACAGACTTAATGCCATTTCCATTTGGCACGATCCTATCACACTTTTCTCGCTGGTTTTATAGCTATATCTACGTGGTAGAGCCATGCTTCAGCTATATTATGGTTGTAGCACGAATGGGTCGGATCGACCGGGAAGGACAACGCTCGTACAGAACACAACGTGAAATAGCAGCATGCTGCTGTTTCTTAGTGGCTATTTTTACTAGTATCGAGGGAAGCATTCCTACTAAATCGGGTGTAACAACGCGTCTGCATATAGATTCTTAATTGAATATTGATGTAAATGTCTGCGGGCCACAGAAACCACTACCATCAGGTGAACTGAGTGCTCGTTTGTCATCCTTCTAAAATAATAAAAATAATAGGCCTATAAAATCCCAGCTAGATAAAAGCCAATAGCTCCTCTCCCATTATAGCAGACGTCTCGCACCTTTGACGTTGCTTCCTGTCGCCGATCTGGAGGTATATTCGCTAACTTTGATGTCAAAATGAGTCACACTGTTGTACATTGCGCATGTTTTATAGCTCGTATGGAAAAGCTATAATAGGTAAAGCAATGTTCTACAAATTATCATTTTGTTTTCAACAATGTTAGTGAATAGGGCTGCTGGAAAATTTTACGTCTGGCGTATATAAGATGGTTAAACCACAGACATAAATAATACTTTCTATATATATATATATCGATAGCCGTTAAATTTTTCTAGTTTCCCATAGTTGTCACCCCTCACTTCTTACTTGTATAAAAGAAAAAGGAAACATTTGAATCAGTCGTACGTATCGTCGCTGCAATTGGACGTCCCGTTGCCTCAGTTTCCTGTTGCTTTAATTTGATAAATTTCGCACCCAATTGCTTTGGATTGTCGCCGGAAGAATTCTATTTCGTTGTTGCATAACTTCGAAGTGTATGACATAAAACTTTATTAACATTGGCAAGGAGTATTAGAAAATACTGATAAAAGCATTGATATTATAAGTAACTAGTGGTAAAATTAAAAATTTTGTACAACCGACTTCAATATAAATAAAATGACAACAACATCAATGTAGTAGAAGTCAATTAAATACGCATTATTAAGGATAACTCAAAAAAAATCTGATCAGAACTTAATCAAATTTATATAGGACCACATGAGAAGCACCAGCTTTAAAAAAAAGGAATCATTAAAATCGGTTTATTTGGAAAAAAGTTCTGAGGTGTGACTTTGGAAGGAAAAGTGGAGATCTCCCGCCGGGCAAGGTGTTCTGCCCGGGGAGCGGCCAACGCTCCGAGTGGTTCGGAACTTTGATAGAGCGATTTAGGCTGCGATGTATTTTCGCTTGTGGCGCGACGAAAAACGTCATCACATCATCACCCTGCTCAGACCGGAGGTCGATAGTGCATCCTTAATGCCAGTACTCATGAGGTACCTTGAGGATCACCAGCTGATTAGTGACCACCAGTACGGTTTTCGTCGAGGTCGATCAGCTGGTGATCTTCTAGTCTATCTGACTCATAGATGGGCGGAGGCAGTAGAGTCCAAGGGGGAGGCATTGGCCGTTAGTTTGGACATAGCGAAGGCCTTCGATCGGGTCTGGCTCAAAGCGCTTCTTTCGAAGCTTCCTTCCTATGGGCTTCCCGAGAAATTGTGCAAATGGATCACCAGTTTCCTTGCTGATCGGAGCATCAAGGTCGTAGTAGACGGTGAATGCTCTGATTTCAAGCCTATCAACGCTGGTGTTCCACAAGGCTGCGTGCTATCACCAACGCTGTTTCTCCTGCATATCAATGATATGTTGCTAACTGATAGCATTCATTGCTATGTAGACGACAGCACTGGTGAAGCCTAATATACCGGCCGTGCCAATATCTATCGGGAAAACGTCGCTGAGTACCGGGACAATCTTGTGTCTGAAGTCGAGTCTTTGCTTAACAAAGTCTCGGATTGGGGCCGACTAAATCTAGTCCAGTTCAATCCCCAGAAGACACAAGTTTGCGCTTTTACCGCTAAAAAGAACCCCTTTGTCGTATCTCCTCAGTTTCAAGGCACTCCCCTTGCTGCCTCAGCTAGTATCGGAATCCTTGGCGTCGACATATCGAATAGTGTGCAGTTTCGTGGTCATTTGGAAGGGAAGGCCAAATTGGCCTCTGAAAAGCTTGGCGTGCTCAGCAGAGCGAGACAGTATTTCATGCCGGCACATGCATTTCCCATGCTGTGTGCGTAAGGGCAAGTGACGCCGATGCGAACGATATGCCGGTGTGTAATGCATGCCATACTACGCACTTGCAAGTGATGCCGGTGAGAACGATGTGCCGAAGCAAGTGCAAGAAGTCTACCTTATAAATCTGCGGTGAAGACAAGTTGGATTGGCTTGCAGGAGCTGAAGACTGCAGAAGACGATTCTCGGAAGTGAATGATAGGGATTCTTGAGGATAATGACGAAGGCTTTAAGCTTGAAGTTGTAGTTTCCGAAGGTTGTTGGATGTGTGTTCATATCGTCGGGTAGTCACCATTGTGGCCGTGGAAGAAAAAGGGAAGATCTCCCGCCGGGCAAGATGTTCTGCCCGGGGAGTGGCCAACGCTTCGAATGGTTCGGAGCTATTCCATATATTATACTGTTTTTACTTCGGAACTTGGAGAGCGCGATTTAGGCTTCGATGATTTTCGCTTGTGGCACGACGACAGCGCCGCCACAGAGTTAACATAAAAAAATACTGTTCAATTAAGTACCTCCTCCGTTTTTTGAAGTTGGTTAAAAAGTAGATAGGCTGTACAGTATACACTCTCCGCTAGTGGCACGTTGACTTTGCTAATTAGTCAACCTGTCTTCTCTCGTTCCATGTGGAACCACACGCAACACATATACTTGTCACTATTTCGCTCCCAATAATTAGATATTCCGTCCTACTTTCACATGTGATCTATTTATTGGCGTGACGTATTTATGTGCGTTAGTGTGCCATCGGTGAACACTGGAGTTGTGTAGGTAACCTATCTACATCTTATTTGCTAAAATATAATTGACTAAAATTACCTTAAAATATTATCAAACACACAACTGTTTGATAATATTTTAAGGTTTGCATGATGTTACATCCCAAGTTAGCCAAGATGAAAACTATAAAGATTATTGAAAACGATGCTAAATCACGTGAGTTTCATGTGACCTAATGTTCATACTCTATTTTAAAAGGCCGGCAACGCACCTGTGATTCCCCTGGTGTTAGTTGTTCGTGGTGGGCAGTCGACACTTACCATCAGGTGAGCCGTATGCTCGTTTGCCCTCTCTTCTATAAAAAAAAGTTATGTCGTTCCCATTCATTTATTTTTCAGCGTTAACGATCATACAAAGTCATCTTGACTAACACCGCAGGTTTTCTTTAACTTGTTACGAGACCTTCAACAATAATTTAGTAGATTTCCCTTTGTAGGAATGTTTTGAAGCTTTAAAACTGCTCCCCACAGTAGTCTGGACTTTGGATCACAGAACACAGATTGTTGCTCTATCTTTTATATCTCGCAAATATGAGATAGTACCTACTTCAGGCATCAGCAATCCACAACCATTCATGTTTAATAACTATATTTTTTTAGTGTTAATATATTTTTGCGGTTTTGTGGTGAGAAAATAAATCAATTTTCAATTTCTTTTTTCAGTTACACCACAATTTATCAGAGTCCATGAGTTCTTTCTGGCGTTTTTCTATGATTGTCTCGCAAACACACAGAACCAAATTCATTTGTGACTAACTAAACAAGAACTTGTTAACTTGCACAAATAATAGGTAGTGAAGTATTTTTTATAATAAAACTATAAAATAACATATTTCGTAACAGAAACATATGTATATATTTTATATACAAACATTGTATAAAAATTATTACTACATAACATTTTGTCACATATCTCAGGAATGATTTGACTAGTTATTAAATTGAACTATTGTATCTTCTGCATTCTAGCTGAATGATTACATCCTTAGCTTTTATTCAGCTGATGTTTGAACATATCGTATATAACAGAACAAAGCCTGTACAAGGGTAGTCCAACAACTGTGAAGTAATCGCCTTCTACTCTTTCTACAAATGTGCCTCCGACTCCTTGTATACCATATCCACCAGCTTTGTCCCTAAAACAGTATTAAACTTGTGAATAATATAATAGAGTTAGTTTTGCTTTTCGTGTTTTTTTTTTATATGATAGGGTGACAAACGAGTACACAGTCCACCTGATGGTAAGTGGTTGCTGTGACCCATAGACCTTTGTTTGCCAATCAAAATGCAGATGCGTTGTCACCCGTGAGGACTAAGATGGAATGCCTCTTTTCCTATAAAAAGGTTCTCTACACTCACCATACGATTTTACGCTGGTATTCTGTGAGTGCGTGGTCCTTCCCCGGTCGAGTCGCCCTTTTCTTGCTACAACTATACTACCAATATAGCTGCAGCATGGCGTATTAGAGAAACAATTTGAAGTATGTACTTGCTATTTACTATTTCCATCCGTACAGCATATTACAACATATTACATTTACATATTACAGCCTCTTAAAAGTCCACTGCTGAACATAGGTCTCTTTCGTAGATTGCCTCAAAGGGGAATATTTGCCAAAGTTCCCTCTCTTAGCAAGTGGGTTGAAAACCCCAATGTTTTATTATATTGGGTTGTTATCAGAAAGATGCTGCTGCGCATCTCCTGTTTCAGTTTCCCTCTGCCTCTTACAGCACTCATTGGACGACATGGGTTAGTGAATATTCATACATCACCAGTTACAACGTTAAATTTCTTCTGTATTTAATCAGCAGTTTACGTAATTAAGACACAGAACACCTATATGTTAGACTGGAGAGGTCCCGCCTAATGAAGTCAACGCTCCGTCCCTCTCGTGCTCTAATCCAAAGTCCCGAAAATTTTCAGCACAAGATACAAAACCATTTTAGTGCATAGAAAACTGCAATGCAGTGGATGCTATGAATGACAAGCTTGTGGAAATTGTCCATGCGGAGCTAAGTTCTGCAAGACCCACCGCAGAAGAACACAAATACTCTCCAACCACATGTTTAATCTCATGGCTGTTAGACGGGAAATGAAGCTACAGTCTTCAACAGATTCAACAGTATACAGGCAACTGAACAGACAGATCTCCAAATGCATGTGGCGGGACTTATGCAACTTCAATACAGCTCGTTTTGAAGAAGCGATCGAGCAGAACCAAAGCTTCAAAGTCTTTGCCAGAGATAGGTCTGCCAGGAAGAGTTAACTGTCAAAGCTGAACACCGAGTGTGGCAGCATCGTTTCCGGTACACCTGTGATTTTGAGTGAATTCGAGAGGTTCTATGGGCAGCTGTACTGTACATCATCGTTGAAGCCACATGCAAGTTAAAGTGGATGGAGAGCAGTGGACTGTATTTATACTTTAACTGGCGGTGTGAGGTTAGCTATACTAGGGGACTGCTCGAAGAAAAGATGGTACTTTTAATTATACTATATTCACTATTTACAAAGGGTTCGGCACTATTAACTAAATCACTATACAAAAGGGAGGTCTTCAGTATGGAGTCTTCTGTCTTGATTCTTCCTTGCCGCTTCCGAATGAATGCTTCTGAATAATCCGAATGAACCCGAATGAACCCGAATGAACAACGACCGTCCGAGGCGCCCTTCTTATATTTCCGATGAGAGCGCTTCATTTCGTGGGGTTAGCCGCCCGATGGCAATTTTCGCCGCACGCGCGCTGATTGGTTGCCCGATATCGCGTGATCAGCGCCGGCGTGCGGGGTGCGCGGGACGTAACGGGGAACGAAGGGGCGACGGGGCGGCGGGTCTCTCGCTGTCCGTAACATTCTCCCCCCGGCGTAGCCTTGCGAGCCTAGGCTGCACTCGGGAGGACGGCGATCCTCCTGACCGGCCGCCGCAGCAATCCGCCCCTGGTCCTTACTTCAACGTTCCGTACCACGCCGTCTGGTCCGGGAAAGGTCCTCGTTACAACTCCTCTTGGCCACACGTTCCGCGGCATGGTCCCGTCTGCCACCACGACGAGGTCTCCTTCTTGTACCGGGCGCTGCTGCACGTCCCTTGAGTCTCCGCGCGCAACCAGCGTCGGCAGGTACTCCTTCACCCAGCGCTTCCAGTACTCGTCGGCAAGTCCCTGCGCCGCTCTCCACGCCCGACGATCATTAGGCGTGCACGGCGCGGTCACTGGAAGGCTCGATGGTCCCAGCAGCAAGAAGTGGTTGGGTGTCAATGCCTCTTCTTCGTCGATGTCGACCGGTACGTGCGTCAACGGTCGAGAGTTAACGGTGTTTTCGGCTTCTGTGAGGAGCGTCGCTAATGTCTCCTCCCGTGGGCTCTTCTGATTGAGTGTGGCTTCGAGCGCGGTCTTCACCGAGCGCACGAGACGCTCCCATGCGCCTCCCTGGTTCGGCGCACCCGGCGCGATGAACTTCCAATCCGTCCGCCGAGTCAACGCGTAGTCCTTCAGCAGGGGTGCCCACTCTTCCATCGCCCGTCGTAATTCGGTGTCCGCCCCATGAAAGTTTGTCCCGTTATCCGAGTAGATGACCCGTGGCCACCCACGCCTAGCCGCCATGCGCCGCAATGCCGATATCGCCGAGTCCGTCGTTAGGGAATAAACTATCTCTAAATGTACCGCGCGCGTCGTCAAACAAGTGAATAACGCTATCCACCGTTTTTCATGCCTACGTCCTATTGTTACCGTTATAGGCCCGAAATAGTCGATTCCGGTGTAGGTGAATGGTCGCGCGAATGCCCCTAACCGTTCAGGTGGTAGATCTCCGATAACCGCTGGCCGTGGTGTCGCCTTGCGTACCCTGCACCGCAGACATCTCCGCTCCACTTCTCGTACGGTCGGTCGTAGTCGAAGTATGTGATAGCTCGTGCGTAAGTCGTTCACTACCCGTTCCCTGTTGGCGTGGCTTGCTCCCTTATGCGCCTTCTCCACAAGCAGCTTTACAAACTGGTGGCGTCCGTTCAGGATGATGGGCCTCTTCATTTGGCTGTCCACATTGGCTGCGTCAATCCGTCCTCTAGCTCGCAGTACGCCATCTTCGAATATGGGGTCGAGCTTCCTTAACGCGCTGCCGGTTGCCAAGTTCCTTCCTTTCTGCAGTCGACTGATGTCTTCAGCAAAACTCTCTTGTTGACTTCGCTCTATCCACATCCGCTCTGCTTTATGGATGTGGTCCAATGTTAGTCCGTGCGCCTTTCCTCTCATGGCATCGACGAACTGTAATATCCGAGCGGTGGCCCTGACCAATCTCTCGTAAGAAGAGAACCTCTCGATGTCTGGCAGGTGTGGAGCGCCCCTGGTGTCGCTCTGGTGCGCCACGACTTCCTCCAGCTCGTCATCTTCATCCCCTGCCTTCTCTTCCCGTCGTCGAGGCCATCGATCTTCCTCTTCGTACAGGAATGGCGGTCCCGTAAACCATTTGTCGCTCTCTTCCTTGTACGTGTAATTAATGCGCGTTGCCTGATCCGCGATGTTGTCTGCGGTCGGTATCCACCTCCATTGCTCGGGTGACGTCTTCTCCGATATCTCCCCTAATCTATGTGCTACGTATGGGGTGTAACGCGCCGTATCGTTTTGAATCCAATGGAGCGCCGTGGTGGAGTCTGTCCAATAAACTACCCTATCGGCTACCACTCTGTGCTCGCCTTGCACGAATTCCGCGAGTCGCGCGCCTATCAGATTCGCCTGCAATTCTAACCGTGGTATGCTTTGCGCCTTTATCGGGGCGACTTTCGCCTTGGCCGCCACTAATCGTACCTTAACTGTTCCGTCGCGGTATCGTAATCGCCAATACGCCGCGGATGCGTACGCACGTTCGCTTGCGTCGCTGAACACGTGGAGCTGACGCCCTACCACTCCCCCCGTAGGAGCATAGCACCTAGGCAGCCGCAGTCGTGATACTTCCTCGACGACCCGCAGCCACCTCTGGAATTCCTCAGCTGCCTCCTCGGGTAGTTCGTCGTCCCATCCGACCTTCTTCATCCGCCACAGGTCTTGCAGCAGGATCTTGGCGGTGATGGTGAGGTAACTCAGCAGTCCAAGCGGGTCGAAGACCGACATGACTGCACTCAACGCCTCTCTCTTGGTCGGTGGCCTCTGCAGCGTCTTCACCTCGTTCGGTACCCGGTTCATGGATGTGTTAAACGTTAAGGCGTCTTCATTGGCCATCCATAATAGCCCTAGGGTTCTGCCTGGGCTGTCTTGTATCAAGCCTACCTCCTTAGGCTTGCTCGCTAATAATTCCTCCGGCTTGTCTTCCAGTAGGGCTGCGTGGTTCGAATTCCAGCCCGCTAAGGTGAAGCCGGCCTGCTGGTGGACTTCCGTAACCTGCCTCGCAGTGTTTACCGCTTCCTCTACCGTAGCATAACTGTCTAGGTAGTCATCCATGTAGTGACTACGTACGATAGCGTTAAGTGCCAACGGATGTGTCTCAGCGTGTGCGCGCGCGTTATGATCCCTAACGCTATGTGCGAGAAACGGCGAGCTCCTCGCACCGAAAATCATTGAAGTCATAACGTATTCCCGCGGTGGGCTGGATCGCTCGTTACCTCGCCACAGAAATAATTGCGCGGGCTGGTCGCGACGGTCAATCTTGACGCGTAAAAACATTTCCCTAATATCCGCTGACACGGCTATTTCGTTCTCCCTAAATCTGAACAGTATGCCCGGTAGGTTCCGTAACAAGTCGGGGCCGTCAAGCAAATAATCGTTCAAACATTTACCGGACGCACGCGCTGCCGCGTCGAAAACCACTCTCGTCTTCCCAGGCTTGTTCGGGTTTCGTACTGCGAAGTGGGGCAGGTACCAGCTCCTAGGGTCCTCTCTCTCCGTCCCCTCGGCTTCCCTTGCGTATCCTTTCGCCAGGAGGTTATCTATTTGTGCGGTATAGGCGTCTCGAAATTCCGGCGATTTGTCCATTTTCCTCTCGATCGTCCGCAGTCTTCTAGCAGCCATCTCGTAGCTAGGAGGCATCCGCACGTCGTCGTCCTTCCATGGCAGTCCCACCTGGTATTGATCGCCGACCTTCTTGACGGTGCGCTGGAATATCTCGACAGCGCGTTCCTCTTCCCGTCGCGGCCTATTCTTTAGCGAGATACCGATGGAATCGATCTCGTACTGCCGTTTGAGGAGTTCCGTTATCTCCTCGTCTTGACTCGCGAACGTTCGGATGTCCCTATCTATCCGTCCGCTACTGCTTACGACGTGTAACACGGTTTCACCGTCCTCCCTACACGTGACTCGCGGCACGGTTCCTTGTATCACCCATCCTAATAACGTACGTGCAGCTATAGGCTGCCTTCGACGCCCTATCCTCAAGTTACGGGTGATTATTAAATGCCAATTGTCGGCTCCTAATAATAATCTCGGTTTGGCGTCCTCATAGCAAACCGAGCTCGGTAGGTCGCGTAAATGCTTTAGACGTAAACACTCTTTATTTACCGACTGCGAACCTATCTGTAAATTCGTTACTGTACGCGCATTTATTCTATACATCTCGCTGCGCGATTTTCCACGTATGCCTATGTTGACTAGCCTGCTATCGGCCTCGCGCTGACCATTGCTTATTCCCCTAATATTCAGCGGCTTTACCGGTCCTTCTGCTCCTAACTCACGCGCTAAGTCGTCATCGATCAACGAAATAGTCGAACCTTCGTCGAGCAACGCGTACGTGTCTATTTCCTTACCGTGTGGTCCACGTAACGTAATGGGACACACTTTCAACAATACGGATGCATTCCTACCGACGTTAGACGCGACGAGTACGGTCTCATCCGGTTTGGCCGATGTCTCAGGTGCGCGGGTCTTGCGGGTGTGAAGGAGGGCGTGGTGGGGGGCGTTGCAGCCGTCGATGCCGCATTTCTTTGCTTTACATTTAAACCGTCGGTGTTTACTGTTTAAACATAGAAAACATACCCCGTCTTCTTTTACCCAATTCCACCGGTCGTCCACACCCATTTGCGCTAACTTTCTACACTTTGCGATCGCGTGTTCACCTCCGCAGCACATACAAGAGGCACTACCGGTGTCCTCCTGTGCGGTGAACGTTTTTACGCGTTATTCCTATTCTCTACGCGGCGTGTCACTATCCTCTTCGACGGCGGCGCCTCTCGTCTTACGGGCGATTCCTTAGTCGGCTCTACGGACGTATAGGCATGACTCAACGCACGATCAGCCTCTCTCATCATGAACCTGGACAGTGTAACGATGTCCGGCTCGTCTGCACTCCCGTAGTGCTCCGCATAATCACACCAACGCGACCGTAAGTGAGGGCTTAACTTACTCGTTACCTCCCTAGTAAGCATTGGATTTTGCAGATATCCCTTGCCGTCGACGTTTTGCAAAATGCACACGATATTTTGCAACTTTATTGCGAACGCATTTAGTTCCTGTGCGGTTTGACCCGGGCGCGGAAGGCGTTTCAATTCTTCTAACGCGCGATCGATAATTACTTCTGGGCGGCCGAAACACTGCTCTAATGTTCGCATAATATCTGCTGGATCCTTCGCGGTAAACAGCAGTGCCGATACTACTTCCCTAGCTTCACCGCGTAAGCAATTTCTTAACCTTGCCATATTTTCCGTATCTGTGAATCCATATAGACGCGTGGATTCTTTCATCGCGGCTTTGAACGCTAGCCATTCCGCGGCCGAACCGTTGAAAATAGGCAAGTCCTGCGTCTGCTTCGCGGCAGCGGGCCTAACTCTGACCATATTCTCCAGAGCTTCCGCTAGTCGCTCTATACCCCTATCCTTTCCTCGCGGAGTAAGCGACCTATCTCTATCCCTATCTCTCTCTAGCCTACGCTGTGGCGCTGGCGTTCTATGCGCACCTACATCCCTATACGGCGACGATAATCTGCGATCCGTGCGGCGATGTGGCGATGGCGATCTACGTACGCCTACATCCCTATGCGGCGACGGTGATCTACGATCCGCGTGGCGATGTGGCGATCTATGTGTAGGCGATAGAGTGCGGCGTTGGACGCGCGACGGCGACGTAACCCGTACACGACGATCCACCTGGTTCATTCCTGCGGCGACTCCATCTTCCCTTTGTACCGAATCTATGCGGCGCGGTTGAACGTTATTCGCTTCCGTCCTCCCCTGGGCATCTTCACTGTGGTCGTAACCGGTTACCCTGTTCGGTAGGGTCTGCTCTAACTCGATGCGGGGCGCGGGCTGAGAGGGGCGGGAAGGCGACTCCCCCCGCACAGTCTCTACGTTCTCTAACCACCTATCAACGCGTACCCTATTTTCAACTAACTCGTCTTCGTTGACACTTTCCCTATCTGTTTCTTCTTGCAGTTGCGCGACGTCCCTAGCGTACTTCTTCCTAATAAGATCTTCTTCCAACTGCAATTGCTTCCTCCTAATTGCAGCTAGTTCCTCCGCGGCGTTATATTCAATTTGCTTTAATTTAGCTATCGCACTAGCCGTCGACCGGGCTGAACGAACGGAGCGAACCGACGGGGCGCGGGGCGCGGGCCTATGTACGTCTGTTATAGGCGCGACGGTACGTACTATCGAACTAATCTCTGTAGACGGAAGATCTTCTATAATCGCGGCGAGTGTCTCTGTACGCGGCGCGGAAATGCTAACCTCTCCCAAACGATCGGTCGTGGACACGGACATAGCGGGGCGCGGCGGCGGGGGCGCGGGCGCGGGCGTAGATGCGGGCGCGGGCGGGGCCTGGAGCGCGGGCGCGGCGGAGGGCGCTTGTGCCATCGCGAGATAATCGGACGGGGACGCGGGTGCTTCTTCGAATATGCGCATTCCTACCGGCGTGTCATCATCGTTCCGTGTCTTCTGGCTTCGTGTCTTCCTCATGGTCCCACGTTGCGACCTCCGGTCGTCTTCAAAAAGACGTACGTACAGTCTTTAAAAAGACACACGTATGGATGTCGTTCCCGCCACAAGGGCGTTACCAGATGGTCACAGTTTGGCACCGTTAGGGAGTGACCACTGGCCGCGTAAACGCGGTTAAGAAACAAGAAATTGTCTGGAAACAGACAATAGACGCGTATGACGTAGGCGTAACAAGAAACAGGGAAGAAATTAGTACCGACGATCTTCTCTCTTCGTCGACGAACTTCTTTCTTCCTTGAAGATCTTCTATAATAATCTTCTCTCTTCTGTAATTATGTTCTTTCTTCTATAACTGCCTTCTTTCTTGTTTCTTCTTACTTCTTTCTTCCTTCTTCCTTCTTCTGGCTGCTATCCGGCGACGATGGACCAAGATAAAGTGGATGGAGAGCAGTGGACTGTATTTATACTTTAACTGGCGGTGTGAGGTTAGCTATACTAGGGGACTGCTCGAAGAAAAGATGGTACTTTTAATTATACTATATTCACTATTTACAAGGGGTTCGGCACTATTAACTAAATCACTATACAAAAGGGAGGTCTTCAGTATGGAGTCTTCTGTCTTGATTCTTCCTTGCCGCTTCCGAATGAATGCTTCTGAATAATCCGAATGAACCCGAATGAACAACGACCGTCCGAGGCGCCCTTCTTATATTTCCGATGAGAGCGCTTCATTTCGTGGGGTTAGCCGCCCGATGGCAATTTTCGCCGCACGCGCGCTGATTGGTTGCCCGATATCGCGTGATCAGCGCCGGCGTGCGGGGTGCGCGGGACGTAACGGGGAACGAAGGGGCGACGGGGCGACGGGGCGGCGGGTCTCTCGCTGTCCGTAACACAAGTGTAAGTAACAATCCAAGAGCAAGTCTTATTCAATACTATTCCGATGATATGCCGGACATCAGTCTGAGGAAGATTAGAATGGCTCTGCAGCACCTTAAAAATGGCAAGGCCCCAGACGAGGTTGGAATTACAGCGGAGCATCTGAACGCGGGTGGAAAACCGGTACTTAAAGTTCTTCAGAAGCTCTTTAATTTCGTCCTCCATAGTGGCACTACTCCGAAGGCCTGGAGCAGAAGTGTGGTCTTGTTCTTCAAGGCGACAACGCTCTTTTGAAGAACTACAGACCGATTTCCCTTCTAGCCGCGCCTATGTGCTGTTTTCAAGAGTAATTACGAATCGTCTCGCACGCAAACTCGACGACTTCCAGCTTCCCGAACATGCTTGTATCCGAAAAGGCTTTAGTACCTAGACCACATACATACCCTTCGGCAAATTGTACAGAAGACGGAAGAGTACAATCTGCCACTTTGCCTAACGTAACGGTGATCACTTACCGTCAGGTGAGCTGTATACTTGTTTGCCTCCTCCTCCATAAAAAACCCTTAAGCTACCACACCATTAGAAAAGACTCACTCTGTAAAATTAGTATGACTTAAGGTATGGTTTATTTTCTTTTCTTATGCTTTTGTTACAGCAAATTGAGCCAAATTAATTACTTACATGGGTTCTCCGGTAGATATGTAACCTAGGATCTGCTCTTTATCCATTTTACCAAACACAACATTAGTCTTTTCAGTAAACTTAACAACTTTTTCAAATGACTTTACCACTACACCTGTATATACAGTATGAGATCTGCCTGATAGCCTGTAAAATATAAAACAGATGTCTCAAGTTAGTAATTACAAAGTCAATTTGTCTCTAAGAGGAAGATAAAAAAAATGTGATATAATTATTGAATCAAAACCACTGGTTATATACAGATAGCCAAATAAATATGAATACCAAATCAAATACTTCACCTTGTCAACATTTCAAATGCTTCCTTCTCAGAAGTAGGTTTACCAAATAATTCACCATCCAAAGTCACCATTGTATCAGCACCAATAACAACATCTGGTTTGTGGCCCTGTTTCTTTAACCTATCGTCAACTTCAAGAACTTTCTGCAAGGCTGTTTCTTCAACAAATTCTGAGAAACTATTATAACTTTTAGGATCCAAGTTTTCCTCAAATAGTGACGGACACAGGCTTACTTTCAGACCCTTTAATATATTGAGTGGAGATTATTATACGCAAAATTATCACGTAAAAAAACAAAAATACTATAAGTAAAAATTCCTATTTATAAGTTATAAAAACTCACTATGTTTTCGACGAGTTCTTTTCGTCTTGGAGAACCACTTGCTAAGACAATATTTTTCTGTTTTAATATATGCATTACAGGATGCAACATTATTATCTTTAACTAATTAAATAATTATTTAACAACACACACTGCAAACAGGTTTACAAATTCAATTTCAGTTTCAGATATGTTTTCAGTGGTATTCAGTTATCAGAAGTAGGCTTGGGCAAAAAATATCGATATATCGAAATATCGAAAAATTATAATAAAAATATCGATATATATCGTCGATATTTAGAATAGCGATATATCGATATTTATTTTGTTTATTAAATTCGTATCAATTTCGATTTATTTTACAATATTGTATTAATAACAAAACATGTATCAACAAAAGGAAGTACAAAAGTATTCATGTGATATTTGATCGCGAAGATTCTCAGTAATTTTAGAAGATTTTTCAATTTGACGAATACGATTTTGGGGGGGGGCTCATGTCTCCTGTGACCTCCTTCGGACCGCGCCTGCTTTAGAGAAAACAGGGCGCTGATTGAAAATGGGACGCAGATTGAAAAGAGAACGCAGTCTTAACTTCCCCGCTATGAAATATCTCAAATATTATGCCTCACTTTTTAGTGGCACCGCCCTGGTGGCAGAAAAAGTCGTAGATCATTCCTGTATAGTATAGTTTTTTAATTTTTCTACTTTTATGAATATCTGTGGTTTGGTTTTTTTATTTTTAATCTTATTAATATAAAATATAGCTAATAGTACAGAAAGAAACAATAACCATTCCGAACAAATTAACTTCCCCGCTATGAAATCTCTCAAATATTATGCCTCACTTTTTAGTGGCGCTGCCCTGGTGATTGAAAAGTCTTAGATGTCCTCATTCCTGTATAGTACAGTAACTATACTCTTTAATGAACAAGAAGCAAGAACCAAGAACGGAACTGGAGTTTTGGTGGGAACTTGACCGGCGGCGGATTGCTGTTCCTGTATTATTGTTTAAATAATGGTTTGAAGTGGATTTCGATACGTAAAAGTGGTGCGATTTTGTGTATTAAGTGTCTGCGCGTGTGAACCATTATTAGTTGAAACGGTGAAACAAGTGTTCTGATGGTGATGTGATTCTCAAGATAAGGTGTCTGTCTGCTTAGATACCATCGCCAACTGTCAGCTGTCTGCTGGTTTAAGTTGCCGTCAAAATCTCCCAAGGGCACAATGTGACGCATCAACATATTGTGAAGCAGTGTACTATGAAGGATAATAATTATATGGGATGTGCAAGGGAAAAAATATATCATCATTTTAGTCTGTGACCTATATTATTACCAGTGACAGTGATGCCAACTCTAAAAAATATTTAATAGCAAATCTACGTTCAGAAAATGCCAAAATTATGCTAAAGTTTTTAGATAATATTAAAAAAGTGCCATACAAAATTGGTTTTATAACATTTTAGCAACTGAATTACTTATATTTGTATTTATTTTTTTTTACCTTATAGATGTTAAAAATTACTTAGAGATCATCTAATTTAAAACTTTATTCCTTTAAATATAAAAAAATTGCCAAAATCTTTTAAATCACAAAAAAAGAGTATGCAAATTTAGATTTAATTAAACTTGATACGGTAAATGTGGCAAAAACAATCAAAATAAAAGGGTGGCGCGTGCAGTTTCAATATATAATATATGATCTCTATTTTGTAAGTTTTTTATAGTTAACTCGATTTATAATTTACTACTCGTAAAATTTGTTAAATAATCAATAAAAAATATGTGACATAACCACTACCTACTACTAGATGACAGTTATGTAGGTAGTTCTTCAAAATATGCTTTATTATCGGTGCCATCTTAATTAATTTAAGGTATAACAAGGAAGCAAAATTTAAAAAAAAGAATGGTCCTACGCTCAATAATATAGTTTTGGATTATTAACTATATTTATTCAGATTTCTTTTAGCTAATCAACTTTTTTTAATATTCTCATATTACTGGTAATGAACTAAGCTTATACGGAAATGAAAACGATGGAGACGTGAATTACCAAGAAGAGACGGTAATGAACAAATATAATGCATACAATATAATACTCTTTATCGTACACCATGAAAAGATAAAAATATCAAAAAAAAAATAAAGAACTATTGAGGGAATTATTTTTCGATAGTACTTGTAAGTTGAATGCTTGTTGAATGTACATCACTAGCTAACGCACCCAATGACAAATCAAAATTTGTCACGCGTTTTCGGGCTGTCGCGTAGATAGAGGAAGTCTATGGGCTATCAGGTCGTATATACGCCAGTATATTCTAAAGCCGGCGCCAGATATAGCAACAACATTTGAACACTTATTTGAAGGATTTTGCACACTTGTTTGAACACTTATTGGTGCAAACTGCCAGATGCGCTTTGCAAACACATCTCTCTACAGTACGTTGTAAATCGACAAACAAGATGGTCGACGATTTTGTGTATGCAGTGTGCCCGTATTATTTAAGTGCATGTCAATATTTATTACATGTGCAAAAAATAATACAATAAAATATTTAAATACAAGATTATCTATTTCATTCATAAGTACTGGTCTGTTATCTTCATCCAATTTTTTTAACTTTTCAGATAAATCCTGACTATACAAATCACATTAATTCGATTGCTTTTTACTGATTTTATAATTGGAACTATTTTTAAAACGTACTGCGCGCGACCGTCCCGCTCAACAACGGTCGCGCGACTGTACTTTGCACAAGTGTGGCAGGCTACGCAAACATTTGAACACTGTAGACTTTGAACGCTTTGATGTGACCTTAAAAACCGAAAGCGCTTGGCAAAGTACATTTCTTTATGCACTTATTTGAACGTTGATTCTAAGTCCCGTGCTACACATAATTTCAAACAAGTGTTCAAACGTTTGAAGCTGTATCTGGCGCCGGCTTAAGTCTATGCTTGATCCCGAGATAAATAACAACGTGGTTTAAAAGACAAGCATCCAAGCCACAAATCTTAAAAACTTCTCGTTCTCTGTCAGTTACTAACAATTAATAGGAGTTTTGGCGGGAACTTGACCGGCGGCGGTTTGTTGCTCCCGTATTATAGTTTAAATAATAGTTTGATATGTAAAAGTGATGCGATTTTATGTATTAACTGTCTACGCATGTGAACTATTAGTGGAAACGGTGAAATGGGTGCTCTGATGGTGATGGATTCTCAAGATAAGCTGTTTGTTTGCATGGGCGCCTTTAGATACCATCGCCAACTGTCAGCTGTCTGCTGGCTCAAGTTGCCGTCAAAATCTCTCAAGGGCTGCACAATGTGACGCATCAACATATTGTAAAGCAGTGAAATTCTATATATTCAAAATAAAAAAGACAAGGCTGTATGGCATAGTTCCTTTGCTTGCTCTCTCGAGCGAATAATAAAAACAACAACAACTAATAAGTAATAACTATGGAGTGTAGAGAGAAGGAGGACCATCTCTATACAATGAAAAGTGTCTCTAAAAACGTATCCAATAAGGGTGGCGCTGCAGTAGCATAGGATAAATTTAAAAAAGCGCCAAAAGCAATTAGAATAAGATAGAGAAATAAACAAGGACCGACAAATCCGCTTGGTTTTGTAATACGTAAATAGTTGAGATTTTGTATACTGGCATTTTACTAACTACTCTAATCATAATTTTTTTTAAATATTTGAATTCAGCTGACTTCACTCCGTTCACAACAGCTATCTTCATATCGTAGTTTTTCAGACGCCAGCGCTATTGTGGTAGGTTTTGGAAAATCTATTTTCAGTAAATAGTAGGACACTTTCTCAACTTTCGCCCCTTATAAGATGGTTCTCCTTATACTCTACACTCCATAGTAATAACATAGAGATACTATACTCTTTGTCTCTGATACTCTGATATCGATGGTCTTGGTATTCAGCACAGACTAATATGATGGTATTCAGGTAGAATCTATATAGATGTGCCAACACAGAAAAATTACAGTTTTGGCGGGAACTTGCCCGGCGTAGGCTTGCTGCTCCTGTTATTGTTGTTTAAATAATGGTTTGTGGTGGATTTTGATATGTAAAAGTGGTGCGATTTTGTGTATTAAGTGTCTGCGCATGTGAACTATTAGTGGAAACTGTTAAACAAGTGCTCTGATGGTGATGTGATTCTCAAAATAAGGTGTCTGTCTGCTTAGGCGCCTTGAGATACCATCGTCAACCGTCAGCTGTCTGCTGGCTCAGGTTGCCGTCAAAATCTCCCAAAGGCTGCACAATGTGACGCATCAACATATTGTGAAGCAGTATACTATGAAGGATAATTATTATAATATATTGTAACTTCAGGCTCAGAAGGGCTAGATCCCAGAGCCGTAAAGCCGTAAAGAAGAAGACGGAAAAATTACAACTCGAGTAAACTCGAGTTGAAATTCACGCAATTCGAGTGTAAATTCGAGTTACGCAACTTGAGTTTAAACTCGAGTTAAGCAACTCGAGTTAGCAGTACGAAACAGAGTAAATGATTTGTTACAAATTATTTTTCTACCGACTTCAAAAAGGAGACGGTACTCAATTTTTTTGTGTGATACCTCATAACTTTTGGTGAAAGCTTGTGCTTCTCATGTGGTCCCATATAAATTTGATCAAAGTCTGACCAATTGCTTTTGAGTTATTCTTAATAATTTATATCGAAGTCGATAGCACAAATTTTTTAATTTTCAATTATTTCTAAATTTGTTTTCTATCTAGCTCTTTGGCGGGTTGGGATTACCAAAATTACCAAACTTATTATGTAGGATTGAAATAAAAGAAGTATATTTAGTATGTATCACAAACATATATTTGATTTTAATCTTAGTCATAGTAAGTACTTGTATTTAACAAAAAAACTAGCTATGTAGCAGTCTTCACGAAACAATATTAGTCTAGTTTTAAGATAAAGGTACAAAAACTGTCTGTCACTGTCAAATTATTCATAAATATTTTTTTAAAGATTAAAATATTTATTGTAAGTTAAGTGTTGCAATAGATCTGTGACTTACATAACTATATTGATCATAAATCCTTCAAAATTATAAAAGAAATTAAATTACATAACTTAGCTATTGTAAAATTCTAAATAACAAATTGTTTTAGTTATAGCTAAATACTCTTTAAAACACAAAGCGCGCACACAACGAACGAATCGCGCTCTTACTCTTTGCTGGCTTGCTTGATCCGTTCATGTCCAGCAGCTCAAACTCGAGTTAGGTAGATCCAACTCGAGTTGACCTAAGGGTATTAGTGTTCTGTGAGTTGACCCATCACTTGAATCTACTAGTTAGTCTATGGTATTGGACTCCGTCTGCCGCCGCTGTCTATTTCGGCTTAATTTCTGTTTTCGAGTTTTTCTGTTAAAACGGACTTAATTAAAAAGATTTAATTGTGATGGCATAATAAGTTGTTTAAAATGAAGTCCATTGTGGCTTATGTTCGCAATCTTCTTGGTTGGTGCGAAGACGAAACCAATAGAACAAGCTTCAAGCGAGACAGGTACGGGTTTGACATTTCATGTTTACAACATTGCATTTTCGATATGGCGGTAAAGCTTTTGATATTTCTCTAAATATCTATTTGAAAGTATTCAAGCATGTACAAAGTACCGTTAAATGTTGCTTCAAAATTTTGGAAGTCAGTAAACCTGTAATATGTTTATGTTGGTCATCTCCTTCAGAACTATACATTTTGATTTTTTTGCAGGACTGATGACGATTTTTCGTCCGACGATGAAATACCGGCGTTGAAAAGATTAAAGCAATTAAATAAAACCAATTTTCCCGAAAGTATGGCATCAAACGGTAATATATCTCCCATTAATATATTTACATTTCTTTAAATAACCTACAAGACAAATTTATTTCAGATGTCTGGGAGAAGGATAAAAAGCAACATAAGAATGTTCGTTATGTTCCTATACAAATAGAATCTGATCACCCCAGTACATCAACACCTAACGAAGTTCCAACAAGAATAGCAAGCAGAATTAGAACAGTGCCAATTAAACTTGTTGGTGTCACTGAAAATGGTTCGACTACTCCTAGAAATACTAGAGGAAATACCTCTGTGAGGCCAGTGATACAAGCAGTGTTAGATAATGATGATGATGACCAGGTATTACATTATTCTGTATTGATAACTTATATAATATACAGTTATTCTATAACCTCTGATTATTGTTAAACCTGTTGTTCTTATCTTAATTTGGAATCATTTGAGATATAATGAAATGGTATAAATTTGCATTGCTCCTAACTTAAATCTAAAATAGACTGACTAAAGTTATGTTATCATTTAAACTTTCAATCATTAACATTTGTGAAATTTGTATTAAATAATTTTGATCATTTCTTTTCTATTATAGGTTACTTGGATTGAAACTAGGCCTGAAAAACCTAAAAAGGTATATATCAATTTGGATGATGATGATGAAAATGATAATGAACAAAATGACGATGTTATATTTGTCAAAAAAGTATCAACACCTCCACCAGTTAAACCATACAAATATTTCTATACCAATGAAACAGAGTCTAGAGACGAAGTGGATGATGTTCAGTATTACAGGCTAAAAAAGATTAAAGACAGGGAGCGTAATGTGTCACCAAGAACCTATAGCAAATTTAAGGCCCCTGTAGGCATTACAAAAACTTATAAAAGAGTTCCTCCATCTGTGCCGAAATGGTTGCAGGGACAAAACACTAATCTCTCTCAAAGTAAAAATAGATTTTTAAATGTTAATGGAAATGCTAGAACAACTCTTTCCGAAGTATTTAACTTAGATGAAAAGAGGAATTATCAGGAATTAATCAGAAGGGTTGCTAGTAGTACTAAACCATTGTCATTTGGAAAGCCACTCAACATCATTGATTTAGCAGAAGATGCAGCATCATTTCGAATGACACAAAGGGCACAGAAAAAAGCACTGAATGAAATTAAGTTAACTGAAAGGGGTCTGTGTGATGAAAAAGAAAATGAGGAATTGAGGGAATATGATCCTATTACTGTAGCATCAATAAATTCATCAGATTCGGAAGTTGAAATTGTTCCTTCTGAGAGTTCTACCTCATCCTCGGTTAAGATTGATCCCATTAATACTTTAAAAGACTCTTTCAAGGATAGACCCATTACGTCAGACGACTGGTTAGCAAAGTTGAATTCCAAATACAAAAAGAAAAAACAAGATACTAATGAAAAATTAAAAGATGCCCGTCGAGAGTCTGATATTATATCCAAGGTTAATTATGAACAAAAATTAGCCCATTTAGAGCATAAACTTAAACATGAGTTGAGTATACCTGAAAGTCTGATTGAGGAAGTTGAACCCAGTGTAGAATTACCCAAGTTAACATTAGAACAAGAAAAATTAGTTAATAGAGCCTTAGGGCCAGGACCCGCTGGTCAGCTGCTGGTGGAAAAGTTTAATTTAAGGATACACAGGTGAGTTAATTAAAGTTATCATCATCATTAGTCTGCAAAAGTCATCAAAAGTCTACTGCTGGATATGGGCCTCTCCCATTGTAGGGAGGATTTGTCATCATCGTCGCACTTGGCACTGGATTGAAATTGCTGTGCCAGATGAGTTGGTATGATTTCGTTAATGTTTTTGTTAATGGTCTCAGTCAATGCACAATAATGAACTGATGCACCCACTATCAACTTTTTGTGCAGAAGTAAGTAGTTTTTAAGAAATTTTTAGTTTTTAGGTTAATGTTGAGTTATTAATATCCTGCAGCACAATATTGCTGGTCATTTTAGGTTTCATTGCTAACCATAAAACCTCTATGGTGTAATCTTTGAGGGATTCCTCTTTCGGAGTGATTCATGTGTGCATATATTTGACAAACTAAAGATTAGTAGATAATGCCCAAAGGCATTAAGTTCAACCTTTGTAACTGTAAACCTTAGAAGTAACTAGTAGCGGTAAAGAGATTTAGGTTACTGGTGACCATATCATGTGAGCATACCACACCAGCATAGCACCAGAAGAAGAATTGTGAGGCATTTCTTAGTATGTTCAGAATATAGAATAAAACACAGAAGTTGAATATTGTTATGTATTAAGCTTGGTAGCATGACAAAAGACTAATTAGTTTTCCTGGAAGCAATCTCATATTCATCATCATCTCTTGACTGTTATTGCTAATCAGTGTTTCAGTTTTTTCAATTTTTGCTGAATCTGGATGTATAGTATCCAAAAGTTTATGTTAAAAAATCTCTTCATGACTAGTTCAGATGGGCTCTTATTGATTGCGGTGCATGGTGTAACTCTAAGACCAAGCAACAAATTTGGTATTTTAAGTGTCCCGTGCTAGATCTTCCATTTTACACAGTTTGTCCTTAACGGTCTGAACCATTCTCTCTGCCAACCCATTTGTAGATTGGAGGTATGGTGCTGTTGTTACATGACATATGTTATTAGCTTTTAGAAATTCATTAATTTCCACCACTATAAGCTATGTGTTGCAAATGTTGTTCTTAAAAGTCTTATAACTGTCGATGAGGTAGTGTTATTTACCATAAATATTTTAGCCAAGCGTGAGTATGCATTCACTATTATTAAAAAAAAAATTTATGATATGGTCCAGCAAAATCAATATGAACCCTTGACCATGGTTTTGTTGGTGTAATCCATTCATAACTAGATTTTTAAGGCATATGGCAATTCTCCAAATATTTCGGACAGCCTCTCACCAGCATTTCTATATCCTCATTAATTTTGGCCACCACACATAGCTTTGTGCAAGTGCTTTTGTTTATTATTATTATGGGTTATCTATATAGTTTTCTCATCTGGTTGGGCTGTATAAATATATAAATGTAAACGAAAGATATAAATATACATAAAAATCAATAAAATAAATAAATAAAAACAACCAGATGGAAGCCCTCGGTAGGGGAGACCAAACAGCCGAGGGTTAGGGGAAAGAGAAAGGAACCGTCGGACGATGCGGGCGGTATCGAGGAGCGCCGTCTTCTGCATTTGAGCCTGGAGCGGTCCGTCACGGAGTCCCAGTCGCCTCAGATGACCTGAGAGGCCGACCGGGATTAGCCCGTTTGCAGAAACGACCACAGGAATAAATTTAGTCGGCAGACCACCCCACATGTCGGTCACCTCTTGAGCTAGGTGCAGATATTTTGTCAGCTTATCTGTTTCGGCTTTCACGAGGTTTACGTCATAAGGAATGGTAATGTCGACCAAAATATCCTTCCATACGGTCTCCCGGTCGGAAATGCACTGTAATGCTGTGTCTTGCCATTGCTCGTTGGCAAGGATAGAGGTGTAAACCCTTTATCACACGAAATGACGTCCCTGTAGGATCATCCGATCTCGCCAGAAAGTAATTACGGAGGCTATACACTTAGCGATTATGCATGGTGAGAGCGCTCAAAAAGTACAGCCTCATTACTGACGATCGCGGGTGATGCATCCTGTGGGACGTTATAACAGTGCGGACTTTTCTAACCAGAGCATTTATTTATTTATTTATTTATTTCAACACTTACAACTATCTTTACAGGTAATCCTAATACGATAGTGTAACTATTCTATATGCTATTATTATAACTATTTTATGTGCTATTATTATTATATGCAATTATCTTTTTAAATTAGGTACATAACAAATAATGTATAATGCTATCTTTGTGAACTCACTCATTGGACAGCAAAACAAGTCTATTTCTCTCGCTAAGAAATTAAGTGTGCAGAGAGCAAGTGTGAGGGGCGCCTGACGCATTAGGTTTGTCCTTCCTTTCGGCACGGCAAACAATTGTGGCCGTCGCCGTCTCCCTATGTATCCGTCGGGTACATACATGTTTAATTGTTTTAGTATTTCAGGATTAAATATTTTCCCTATGAGTACCTTATAAATATATAAAACTAGAGCAAGTTCTCTCCTAACCCTAAGTTCATTGTATCCGACCATTCCTAAAATGAATAAGGTTGGATACATTAAGGGATAGAATGGGTACACGCCGTAAAGTTTCATATACAGATATCTCACAAATTTATTCTGTACCCTCTCCAACATTAGGTTATACTTAGCTTCATGCGGAAACCAAACGATTGCATTGTGTGCCAAATGACTTCTGACCAAGGCATTGTATAATACAATGATTGCTTTGACATTTGTAAAATTATTTACTCGGCGAAGAACAAACCCTAGATTCCTATACGCCTTTTTGCAGATATTAATAACATGAGCATGAAAATTTAGTCCGGAATCCATTTGAACACCCAGATCCCGCACTTCTGTAACTCTTTTCATAAGCTTATTGTCAACCTCATAGTTTTGCAATATAGGTGTTTTTGAGCGGGTGAATGATATTGTCAAGCACTTTGAGATGTTAAATTGCAACTTGTTCTCCTTACTCCAAGCCACTACTCTATTTATGTCGCTCTGAAGTCTTTGACAATCCTCAGCGCTCCTTATAGGGAGTGAAAGTTTGAGATCGTCGGCGAATAACAGACACTTCGCATCTTTCACAATACTCGGAAGATCGTTAATCATCAATATGAACTGGAGCGGCCCTAGATTACTGCCCTGGCTCACTCCCGACCAAGTAAAATATCTTTCTGACAGATGTTTCCCGCATTGTACATACTGCTGCCTATCTCTCATATAGCTAGCAAAAAACTTTAGAAGATGTGGAGTGAAACCGACGCTAGCCAATTTTTTCAACAATACATCGTTATTTACGGAATCAAACGCCTTTTTGAAGTCAAAATAAGCCGCGTCCACCTGTTCACCCCTATCTACTGTTGGCACAATTTGAGCCATATGGCTAAATAGATTACTGTCAGTACTTCTTTCTGGTCTGAACCCATGTTGAGCGTCTGATAATTGCGTGCTAACCTGTAAGAATAAATTGTAATGGATAGCGGACTCTAGTATTTTCGCTGGAGCTGACAGTACTGCTACTGGTCTATAATTTTCTAAGTTATTTCCATTACCTGCTTTAGGTACCGGGACCACCCGAGTAAGTTTCCACATCTCTGGAAATACAGCAGCCTCTAGGCATTTGTTAAAAATGTAAAGCAGAGGTCCGTCTAGAACCAAACGACAATCCCTAAAGATATAAGGGGGGATACCGTCTGGACCCGCGGAGCGGACCTTTTCGGTTTGAGTTTTTGAAGAGCTTGTCTCACTTCATCTAAGTGTAGCCTCTCTAGGTGGACTCGCGCCGCACCATTCTCACCTCCTGCTTCTGCTACCGCTGCATCTACATTCAGATCCGCTCGTCGAGTACTATATACAGAGTGGAAATATTTTGCTAACTCTTTAACACCTTGCTCCTCAGATAATATATTTCCGTTTTTTACAAATTTTTGTGGATTTCTATGATCTCTTTTGTTCTTAATGTAATTCCAAAATGATTTTGGTTCCTTTAAAAGGTTATTTTGAACTATATCATGGTATTGTTTTTCGGCCAATTCTATCATTTTTTTAACTTTTGCCCTACACCTGGAAAACGCATTGTAATCGATTATTGATTTACTTGTCTTATACCGTTTATGTAAAGTAGCTTTTTGTTTAATGGCTCGAATTATTTCTTTATTGTACCACTCAGGGTAGGCATACTTAGAGTATAATGAACGTCCGCTCTTTCTAGGCACGTAACAATCTATAATGGAGTTTAAAGTATCATAGAAAAAAGATAAACTATCGTCCAAGCTCAACTCAAAAATTGGTGTCCAGTCTATTGCGGCTATTGAAGCATACAATAGAGGAAAATCAGCTTTATTAAAATTCCAACGTGATAAGGTGTCGTCCAAAGAGCAGTGTAACTCCTCGCCATTATTATCTAGTCGGGTATTAATGCAAACCGTCACCTTGATCGGCGGATGATGGGCATCCACCGGCACCAGCAATTCCTCCGCTTCACTTACGCTCACACTTTCTCCCCTCTTGAATCTACTTAGTACTAAATCTAAACAACGATTATTGCAGTTCCTTATTTCATTACTCTGAGTGAATTCACAAAAAGACTGAAAATATTCATAATAGTTACTTACATTTGACGAACACGAATATAAATTAAAGTCACCTATAACTAACATCTTATTATAGTTACTAGAATATTGTTCAAGTATATTAAATAATAACATATATTCATTTTCGCTGCTGTTTGGTGGAATATATAATACACATAACAAAAACAAAAATCTTTTTTGAAGGTAGACTGCAGCACAAACTAACTCAAATGTATGATTATCAATGTTTATATCATTCGGTATTGATACTCGCCGTACTTCGACACGCGGTGTGGCCACTAAACAAGCTCCGCCCTGTTTCCGACCATCCGTTCTGTCGCAACGTAATATTGTGTATCCAGTTGGTATGAGTTCTGCATCACGAATTGACTGAATGCAACCAGTTTCTGTTATTGCAAATAAGTCTTCATCTGAGGCTAAAATACTCCTATAAAACTGGTCC